TGAGGTCCTTGCTCAGAGGAGCAGCAATGAAGAGCTGTCCTAGTTCAGAGGTCTTCTTTCATAAGCACAATGCAGGCTAGCATCAGAAGTTAGTGACGTGAGGCATGATTCATTTAGAGAAAATTTTATGGACAGCTGTGAGTGCCAATATTGCTTGTCTTTCAGAGTTCCCCTGCCTCAGGCCCCAGCCCACAGCCCACAACTGGCCCACAGCCAGCCTGAGCCTAGCTCCCAGCAGAAGATAGATTTTTCTTGCCCAGATCAAAGAGTGCCACAGGGTAACATGTGATGCCCAGGCACTGAGTGCCTTGGAAAAGTTGGGTCCTCTGATCCTTGCCCCCGCCGTGGGCTCTGCTCAGCCTGAGGTTGCCTCTGCACCGCCACAAGAGCCGGACACCAAGAGCAGCACCTTAACCCCTGCTCGTGCACGATTTTCCTCCCCACCCTTCTTGCTTCATCTGAAATTGTAAATCCTCTGACCAGGAGAGTAATGACCCTGATACATTATTTCAAATGTCATTTTTGCAAAGGAATTAATCAGCTTAGTGTGAGACTGGATTATATTTTAATTTTAATAGTGCTAAGTTCTTGCTGATTTGAAATACATTTTTCTGTTCTTTAAATTTCAGCAGGGCAGCATCTCACTCAGTTAGACTGTACCTTGCTGTAATCTCTCCATTGTGGAAATTTGACAGACAAGAGCCATTATTCAGTGGTCCTGGTATCAGCCTCACCCATGCACATTTCCTTTAGTCCCATTGTGTGCATTAGGGATAATAGCTGAGATCGGGCAGCCGGGACCAAAGTGCGAGTGGTTTTATCTTTCATTGGTAAGTGTGGAGACAATCTTTTCAAAGGCACAAAGGAGGAATTAAATGACAAGTTCTCATTTATAGTCAAATGGAGATTGAGAAATATACCTGCCGTTTGAGCTTTTGAAATGTGCGTTTAAATGTAAAGTAATTATTAAAATTTCTTCAGCTGTGGGCTGCAGTTTTCACAAAAGGTCTCTCTGGCTTATAGCTGTAATTAACAGCTCAGTTTTCCCAAGCAGCTTTGCACACTTCAAAGTACTTGCATGCTTCCACTACATTTTTTCCACCTTTTGAGATGCTTTTTATTTAAAATCAATTACAAATGAGGTGTTTATTCAAATCCTTTACCACTGGGCATTAGCTCATAGGTAACAAATCTCCAAACAGAATTAAAATCACCCTTTAAAGTTCACACCACTAAATATACTCTTTTCCACCCTTTCCATCTGTTATTTTATTACCAGGTTTGATTACAGCAAGCAGCACAGTGGATTGTACCCATTGTACAAGCAGTTTAGTGTCAGCCTTTCTTACAAATTTCTCAACACTTCCTTTTTCAGAAGGAAAATGTGAGAGAAATCATAATTTTTATTTCTGGAAAAACCTGCTAGTACCTCATTTCTTGGCCCTTGTCTGGCCATAAGAGCTTTTATTCAATTCAACATAGTAAGTTTTCTTGGCATAATAAATGGTAATTTACATACAATATATTATAATTTCACATACGTACGCTATGTAACATAGGTACATGTCCCACTTTCTTCCTTTGTTATATGCTACCTGCATATACATTACACATATGTGTACATACAGCTGGAGAGAGTTACTTTCTTTCAAAGACATGATTTGGTTAGAAGCAAGTAGGAGTACAATAAGCCAGATGCAGCATGAGCGGGGCTGACATTTTCTCTCTTTGCAATTGGACAATGTTATTCAGAGAAAGAATATTCATCAATGGGCTTCATTTGCCCAAATCCCTTGTGCACTCCTGAAAATCCAGTCCTTCGGTAGGTTAATTGTCCAGATGCTCTGTACTTTATAGAACTGGGCTGTATCTATCAAACAGCATTCAGAGCCTAGCTTCAGGCACTATTTCTCAAAACATTGGTTGAATCTTGCAACTAGAAGTTAGGCAGCCATGGAGTCTCTTGTAATCCAGAGGAGATAAAAGGTTAAATACATTCTCAAGACCATGCTTCAAATACTTGTTCTAGCTTCATGCCTAGCCACTCTCCTCTTAATAAGCAGAAAACTATAATTCATATGCTGCCTGAAGGAGATGTTCTGGTTTTATTTGCATCTATATTTTTCCTCTATTGTTTTAATGAACAATAAGCAAAAGTGGTGCCTAAGAGATATTTTTTTTCCTTTAATGGAAAACTCCCTCCTTGATGGTCTTATAGGTCGTGTAATTGTGTCTGGTATAAAAGAGATCAATCTCTATCAGTTGTGTACACATGCATATAAAATAACAGTGAGGCAGCCTCTCCACAAGATGTTTACCTGCTAGCATTTAAAGATGGTAGGATCTAAAGGACTCTGTTGCCACATAACTTCAATTGGAGATGTAATAAAAACCAATGGCAAAGTAAATCCCTAGGGCTTTTTTTTTTTTTTTTTTTCTCTGCCAGGAGGCATTATTCATTTGCAAAGTTCATTTTTTGGCTGTTGGGCTACATTTATCTCTGGTTTAATATCATTATGATGCAGGGGAGTTATCTGTCTTAATATCATTTTAAGGAGGGGAGATATCCTCTTTCTTCAACAGATTCAGAAGACACATTGGGAGAACTCAATGGTAACTAAGACAAAAGCCTTTGGATTCCCACTGGGTGACCTGCTTAGAAATCATAACCATGCCCCACACATGTGCTAGTTAAGCAAGTGAAGCCCCTCAGCACCTCATGAGGTAGGTAAATGTCATTGCTCCAACTTTCCAGATGGAGGAGAGGAGGCACTGAGAGGTGAAATGGCACGTGCCCGAAGTAACACAGAAAGACTGGCAAAATGGGGGGCACAGGAGCGGAGTTTCTCACTCCCCTCACTGGTGACTTCATGGTGCAGTTCGGCTGCCTTCCCCCAGCAAAGGTCCCCTTGCTGCGTTGTCCTGCTGCCAGCCGCAGTGTTGGCTCCTGTTTTACACTCAGAACTGCTAATGCTGAAGAACACACACTGTTATGTCCAGGCGTGAACCTCTCAAAAGAAGAGCAGGCTATTTCCTTAATATTTTTTGCCTCTTTATTGTAGTGATCTCCACCTGTCGATGTGAGAAGTATCCAGGTTTCAGCTCCAAGAAGAGCTATGTGTGGTAAATGCACTGACCTGGGAGCTCAGGAGTGAAGTGGCAGGCTGGGATACAGGACAATCCTTCCTTTCAGGTACTGCTTCTCTTCTTGCAAGTGGTTTCAGGGCTGTATTTTCTTAATTTTATGACCAGACAGAACTCCATTCATGTCAGTTATTAACATGGCTGATGAAAGGGGAACGCAGTTGTTAATTTTATTTTCTTTCCTCAATTTTACTTCCAGTAAATCAGTGCAACCACCAGTGTGATTTAGGCAGCAATATTTGAGGCACAAGGGAAAACCTGGGTACTGTTGACAGCCTGGAGTTGACAATTCCCTGCCATCTTCTACATCCCTTGAGATTTAGGACATAAGAATTACTGCTACAGTAAGCAGAAAGTTTAACACGCCAACAAATAGTGACAGTTCTATTAGTATTTTTGTTTGCTTTTCCTTTATTCATATGATTTATCTGAATCTTCGGTGAAGGAAAGCTGCTGAATTATTGTAAAATTTCTAATTAACTCTGGAATGTTGTGTAGCTAGCCAATAGATGGAATGTCATAAGGTGTCTTAGAGTAGTAAATGTTTAAACTAACTGTAATGGTTTAGGAATAGAACAATCAGGTGAGGAAGAACATCTGCAAGCATTAATCAAGAAATTAGCCAACCTTGTAAGAAATGAAGACAATAAAATTAATTGAGAAAAAGGGACACCACTGCGCAGAATCAGAAGAAAGTTCAACAAGGGGGCAAAGGAGGAAGAGTTCTTACTTCATCCTGAGACCACCTACAGACAACCAGGGTGGAACCTCTGCACATGAGCAAAAGGATATTTGCATATATTGAGTTCCAAGAAATCTTATATTTATGTAAATAATTACAGGGAATTTACTGAATATGTATAAGTTTGCAACATGTATTCTCTGCAGTTTTGCGCATCCATTGGAGCACTTTAGGTGGAGCTATCCCCAGTGCTGCCCAGAACTGCAAATAGAGGAATACCTGCTTAAGAGTTACAAATTCCGACCGTTAATTTCTATGATTCGATGGCCTAATGCCAGTCAGATGTATAACATAATCTAATCATACAGGCAGCTTGTAGCCTCAGTCCTGGGTCTTCACACTTCAGGCTCTGCCCACCCTGCTGAGTTTCAGGTTGGTAACCAAATGTTTTGTTGAACATAATCTCCACAACAGCCAAAAAAGTTATGGTATTTTCTGAAAACAAGGAGTGCACAAACCTGGACTTTGTTGTCTTGCTGCTATCATGTTTCTACATTTGGGTTTTGCTGTCAGTGTTGTTAGCAAAGGAAAGGGAGATATCACGGGATGAAAAATGAAATGCCAAGCGCAGGAGCTTGTTACAGTGCTCTCCAGCAGCTTCATAAAACAATGGAAGGAAATATGAAGTTCATATGCCAAAGAAAAATAAGAGGATTTGCTCAAAAGCAAGGATTTTGAAAAGGAAAGACTGTCTTCAGTTCCCTTGTAGGAGATGCACTGTCCAGACCTCCCCTTGGAAGTTGCATGTGTCCATGTGAGCACTGTCTCTGGTTGTCCATTGCACAGCAGGCAGCACCAGCGTGGCCAGTCCCAAATGAACGCACAGCACCTTTGGGTGAACGGTGAGCACATATTTTCAAGTATGAGAAACAACACGTGTCATAAAGCAAACAGGAGCTGGGGTGTGGTTTGGAAAACAACCAGCACAGCAGGTTCCTCCATGATGCCTGTGCATGGAGTTGCCCACAGGAGGATGTGTCCTCCTCTTTAGCCTCCAAAGAACCAATAAAATAATCACTTTTCTGGCTTTGCATCCAGATTAGACTGAAAAAAGAACCAACAAAAGAGAGTTTTGTAAATGTCTTCTGCTTCAGTCACTGCTGTGCCAGCATGCTTAGCTAAAGACAGACCAATATATCAAATTAAAAAATATATAGGTGCCTGGAAATATTAATCTTGAGTATTTATCAATTGCGTGAGTGTTCTGGATGATGCGCAAGCCCACATGGCCCTTCAGGCCTCTCTTCCTTGATGAATTAGACTCATTGCTCATAGCTAAGTGCACAACCATCTTTTCTTGCTTTTCTTCCTCTGAGACCATCTGGTTTCTTGTATATCCTGCCAGGCTGTTGGCATCAGATTCACTGTAGTTTCCATCCAGCATCATAGTTTTCGAATGAGTTATTCCACACGCACATGGAAACTAGGAACATAAACAAGAAATATAGCTGAACGCTGGAATAACACATTAGCAACAGTAATGATGCCTTTCTATTAACAGACAGCTTGCAAACAGTTGAGCTTGAAATGTTAGTTGACATACTGTAAGTTTCTCTTTGCACAAAAAATAACTTTTATTTTTTTTGCGTGTGTTACAAAAAGGAAGAGAAAAGGTTTGGCTACACTACATGGAAAGTAGCTTCAGAAAATATTTTAAAAGCGCTTCAGCAGGCATAAAAACTAACTAAAAGGTTTTCTTAGCTATCTCTGTTCAGCCTTGCTGTCTTGAGTTTCCTTATTTTGCTATCTTTGTGTTTATAAATATACAAGGACAAGATGCAGTTTTTTCTGTGGAAATGGTTTATCCAGTACATGTTATGGAAAAAAAGGGGCCAAGTTCTGGTTTCACAGATACATATGTTTTCTTTGTAAATCTGATTTTAAACCAAGGAGGGGACTAGTTAAAAGCCTAATGGAAAATCACAGCTCTGTTGATGTCAAAACTTGCACTGATTTCAGCAGCATCAGCATGCATCCCTCAAGTCTAAAAAACCCGATGAATACAGGTAGAATTTTGAATAGCAAATACTGTCTTCTGTTGTTTAAAATCTGCAGGTTTTCTGTCTCAGCAACATCAATTGTATACTTGTATGTAATGAAAATGGACTCCAAAACCTCCTTCTGCTAGGAGTTCCTGCCTCTGATTCCCCACAGACTGGGGGACAAGCCCACTTTTACTGAATACAGTTTCCAGAGTAAAGCTGACCATAGAGGGGGAAATTAATTTGCTCCGAATAACACCCTTAGCTTAAAAATACAGCAATTGTGGCAGCTGCAGTGAAGTATCGGATTTTATACTTTCCCCTCTTGTCATCCCCACACAGTTCCAGGTTGCAGTCTTCCCCAGGTCAGATCACATCTCTACGAAGAGCCATGAAACCAACTCCCTGTTTTTCTGGTGTTAGCCATTCAGCCTGAGGTGGAGCAGTCTACACACACCCCATTACACACACACGGATGTCAGCATTTCCCCATTTACAGGCACAAACCGGTCAATATAAAGACCAGGTCAGCTGTAAGAAAAAGAGGAATAAATGGATGTATGGGGTCTGGCTGAGCTGGAGTCGGTATCCCCACAGCACCCTCCCAGTGCTGAGTGTCACCCTGGCAGCCAACAGGGTGTTTATAACACAGCTTGGGAGGGGGCGGAGCCAGGACAGCTGACCCGGATTGGCTGTTCCATACCATGTGACCTCAGCTCAGCCATAACAGCCAAGGGCAGGGAGGAGGAGGGGAGCATTTGTTACTCTGTTTGTCTCCAGGAGCAGCCACTACACATCCTGCAGCTCTGCTTCCCCGGGAGGTGGCTGGACATCGCTTACTGAGGGGAAGTCGAGAATAACATCTGTGTTTACCTTTTGTTTCTGTGCATGGCCTTGGCCTGTGCTTTAATTAAACTGCTTTTATCTTGACCCGTGAGATTTTAATCTTATTCTCCCCCTTTATTTTGCTGAGGGGGAGTGACAGAGGGGCCTGGTGGGCACCTGGCGTCCAGCCAAGGTTAACCCACCACAACGGATGAACAAAACAAAAGCTTTTCTCACCCTCTCCCGCAGTTTCCTCTCCTTCCGCTCTTGCACTGTAGTCAGGTAATTCACTGCCGCATATTCCAGCACCGAGAGGAAGACAAACACAAAACTGACCCACAGGTAAATGTCCACTGCTTTGATATAGGAAACACGAGGCATGGAGGCGTTCACCCCAGTGATGATGGTGGACATGGTCAGCACGGTGGTTATCCCTGGAAAGAACCAAGAGAAATAAATATTATTGACTGATACAGTCCATAAGCCTTTTGTCTCAAGAAAAACAAGTTACGCTCTACATGATGCTCTAAAATATGTTAGATGCAAAATAAATCTGTGATAAGTATCTTTCCTGCCAATTCAGAACTGTTGCACTGCCTGCACTTCTGTGCACAACGGGTGTAGTTTTGAGGAGCAACTATCATTATTCTAGGAACAGCACTGAACTCCGCCCTTAACCTCTAGGGTTTTAACACAGTGCTTAGAGTCAGGTCTGCCCAGACCAGTGGTGACAAGGACTCCTGTTTCCTAGCTGTACCAATCTGTGTCACAGGCACTGCCAGAAGCAACCTAGTATTGACTTTTGGTCACAGCTAAAGAGGATTTGATATAAACCACTGATCTTAAAAGGGACACCAATAATGATAAAATGTTTTGCATGAAAAAGAAAGGTATTATGGTTTTACCTCTAGAAATATTTGTCTACAGTTCAAGCTATGGGAATCTAAAAGTTTTGAACAACAACCATTCTATTATACTTATAGATGTGTACGTGTGTAGGTGTTTATAAACATATATATGTATTTTGTTTATATACAGAGATATTTGTGTGCATATGTATATATATACATGTGTATGTATATTTAGACAGATATAGATAAAATCCTGCAAAATAGTGTATATTTTGTTTGGATTGTCATGGAGAGAAAAATATTTACAGGTTCCCAAAGCCACTTAAATAGAGAAAACAGAGCCAAAAAGCATTCATAGCTACTTCAGGCATTTCAAAACAGTGACCACTGTAAACACAGCTACTGTTTTTCACTTTTCATCAGGGTCTAATTGGTTTTTTCTAAATAACATCCCCTGAACACGTTTATTTCTGTGAAACAGTCTCCTGATTGCCTCTTCTCATATGTCTGCTGCAGTGCATAGCTCTCTACGTGATTCAAACTTGTTGAGCTAAAATACTGTTTTTACACTTACATACTAACATTCAGAGATTTTGCTATTACATTTTTGCCTTCCTCTAACCTATGCATGGAAAGATAAACAAATCAGCTGTTTTTATGCTCAGCTAAGGTAATTTCCTCTAGTTCTGACGTGACAAATCATGTCCTGATGGGTTTTAGACGTCCAGAGAAGCAGGCTGGTGCGCACAGGATTTTCAAGCAGCTCCTTCTTCACTTTCCCACTCCCTCAAAGGAGAGACTGCCCTACCCCAGAAAAGTTGGATTCTCAGTGCAAAGCACCCTTGGAAGGGAGAAACCCAACCTCCACCTCACCTCGGGGCTGGTGGCCTCTCATCCTCAGCACTGTGGATGGGAGAGGAGAGCCACGTTCCCTTCACTGCCCCACTGTTGTCTGTGTTACAGAGATGCCGAGTGTCCCCAGGCGCATATCAGATGGAGGAACACCTAAGTCTGCAAGTGCTGATGGGACTAGATCCCTTCCTGCCTTTATTTCCCAACTGTGCCACCTTGGCACCCTCCAGGCAGCCTTGAGAAAGCCACCAGCCACAGCACCAGTGCCAGCTGGTTGGGAAGACATACCTGGACTGGGACACCCACTGTGGCAGTTGGGACATGGCAGGATCCTGCTCATGAAAGACACTCCTGAAAATTGTATCGGAAACCTTTAGCTCCCTGTAGGTGCCTAAACTCCTGTGGAACTCTGCCCTCACCAATGACAACGTGTGTCTCAGAACTGCAAGACTGGACAACAGGTAAAAATCTTGATTCATCGACTCATAAATACTGAAACCTGTCTTCTCTGCCCAACTTGATTTTTAAAAAGACAGCCCTCTCTGCCCTGAGCTAAGTACAGATTAGGAGGACTGCTTAGTGATGAAGGACTTAAGACAAACTGTGAGTTTTACATTATATTAATCATCAGATAAAACAAACATTTGCTTGCCCAATATCTTTAACCATCAAAATGAACAGTTCCCTTTCCCACCAAAACTTTCACGTTCAAAGATTTTCATGCAGTCATGGCTTGTTGCAGTTGCTCTCACCCAAAGAGACTCTGGCTGGAACTGCTCGGCGATCGATCCAAAAGGACACCCAGGACAACATGACCATGAGGGTGGCAGGGAAGTAGGTTTGGAGCAAGAAGAAGAAGATGTGTCGACGTAAAGTGAAGTTTATGTAGAGGCGATTGTACCAACCTTTGAGAGAGGAGGAAAGCCAGAGTCAGTGTGAACAGCCTGGATGATAGGCACAGCGAGGCAAGACCTTGCCTTTGATTTTTTATTTCTAAAGGGTAATGAGAAGAGAAACTAATCTTTCAAAATACGTATTGTCCAGACCATGGAGACTACATTTCAGTGACATATAATCCCAAGAGCTCTGTCACAAGTAGTTAATACAGCATTAGCTTTAGCATTAAATCAGAAAAGGCCAATACCCGTGCTACTGTAGAAAGCCAGTCTCGATGTAGTATGGAATTTTTGTATCAAAAACTGAGACAAAGAAATCTTTTCATCGGTTTTCAGAGATTCATTCCCATTTTTCCAATACAGCATCAGATCTTCATCAGTGTAAGCATCTTAGGGAAAAAAGAAACACAGTGTAGTATGGCTTTATCATGGAGGGCAAAAAAAGTTCATAGGTGCAGACAAAATTAACAAGCACAAAGTCATCCTTGGCATAAAGCAATGCCACAAAGAAGTGTGCTAACAACAGCAAGCTAAAAAGATTTTGCCATATGATACACCATGACAACAACAACAACAACAAAAATCCAGGTCATCCTGATTCAGGGAAACACATCCTCTTTTTACTCCAGACTGATGACACAACAACTAGAATGATGCAACTGAGCATCACATATCAAAAGTCATAGACAAAGTATTGCTAACTGGTAAGAATAACTCAGGAAATAGTCACGGGTTAAACACCTGAATGTAGACGAAAGGGAAACAGACACCTCAAACTATCTTAGTATGATAAAAGTGACAGGTGTGGTTTGAAGCAAAAGTCTAGAAATATTTGAAAACTGTAAATTAAAAACTTACTTAAAGAGTTATCACACTAGGTACCAGGAATGGTGAATGAAAAAAAGGTTATCAAGATGGTCAGGGAGCTGGAGCACATGGCATAAGACAAGAGGCTGGGGGAGCTGGGTTTATCCAGCTGGAAGAAGAGGACTCTGTGGTGGGGCCCAACAACTGCCCTGCTGGGGGTCATACAGAAGATGGAGACAGGCTTTTCTCAGACTCTTCTCCAAAATGTAGAGCAAAAGGGCAAGAGGTAAGGGATGCAAGCTGCAGAAAAGGACTGTTTCCAAGCAGGTAGAAGGAAACTTTTTCAGGATGTGTGCCATCAAAAATTTGAACACGTTGCACAGAAAAGTTGTGAAGCCTCCATTACCTTGGAGATGTTCAAAACCCAACTGGACACAGCCACTTTGAAGTTCTCCCTGCTCTCGGCAGGGTATTGGAGCAGCTGATCTCAAGGTCAACCTAAAACTCTCCTCCCAACCTAGATTACCCTGCCATTCTCTGATCCTTGTTATTTGTAGAGGAAAATTTCAGTAAAATAGCTGGGAGGAGCCAAAAAAAATTAGATGTTAGTCTTGGCACACCCTGGAGAAAGTTTACAGAACAGCCATGAAGATCTTACTGTTCCTGTCACTTCTCCACTGAACAACTACCCAAAGAAGCTGAGCCCAAGTCACAGTGTTTGCAAGATCAGGATTGTATCATACGTAAACCACATTGGTGATGAAATTTAGAGCAAATCAATAATCACTACAATCAACTTTTTATTGTGTCACTTGAAAGCACCATCTTCCCGTCAGAAGCAACGAACAGAGCAAAACTTCTCCCCCAAATTTCTCATCAGCAAGCTGCTGAGAATCAGTATATGTTATGTCGAACATTTCTCTTGGTGGTTCTTCTTTTTTGAAAGTGCCATCTACTAAACTTCATACAAGAATGCTTTCCTTGCAAATTCCCCTGTCCTGCAGCATAAAGGCTAGATATACAACACAGTAAGACAACAGAAAGAGTCCCAGTAACTCTGGTGAAGTTTTGTTGCTTTTTTGGGGGGGCTCTAAACTAGGCTGTTATCTGAAATGTGTCTGGTCTATATGTGTGCAGCCAGCCATGGAGTATGCCTCGCTAGAAACACAAATACAACATACAGCTTTCCAGCTCCAGAGAACACGTCTGAGAGTCCAGGGGGAAGTGGCTGAAGTCCATGTTGCACATTGCTGTCACTGTGATCCTAGGAGTCGAAAATAAGAAAGGTTAGTTTCTATGAGGAGCAATGAAGGGAGAACATTAATGGAGATAAATCATTCTGCAGCTTTAAAGCTAGCAATTATACACAATATTAGCATAAAATCCCTAAGAAGTTACATCCTAACTCTCCAAGTCCAAGCAAGATGTATTATACACAGACACTCCAAAGGAATCTATAATTCCAACACCTTTCAGGAACTACAGTACTGTCTTGGACGTTACACTAACACTAATGTCAGTACGGATATTTCCACCACAGTTTGTATCCATCTACAAGACAACAACATAAAAATAACTTCACCATTTACACTTGAAGGTTGCCTTGCATCCAGCTTGATTAAGCTTTCCTCTTTTTCCCCATTGCTCAGTTCCCTCCATAGTCACCCCAACAATGACCCAAGCTTGAGGAACACGACCAACGCCATGTGCAAAGTGCAAGCTAGAAAATTCCTCCAGTGTATACATTATTAAGGCAAAAATAGTTTATTTCAGTCCTCAATCAAATTCTTTTAATCTGGGGCGAGTATTTCTGAGGCAGGGGGTGTCAAATGGGTGCAGCTGTTTTTCAAGGAGTGAGATTTGCCTCCACTAAGTTTGTGTCACCTGAAGAGCTGCAGCAATCCCAGCTCCAGTTTTTAAATGGGTCCAGTTGTGCACAACATCACGTAACAAGTTTTCCAGTGGGTCAATGCACTTTCTCTTGTGGACAGATTTGCAGTGGAGCTCCTGGTTTAGTAGGGACAAATCAGCCATGATTCATCATTTCAGAGGCCGACTTATGTCGGCTGTGACCATTTTCTAGATTTGTTGCACATGTTGATAAAGAACTTTCTTCTGTTCAAGGGATTCTGACCCAAATCCTACTCTGACCTCTGCACTCATCACCCCTGAAAAGCATATGATGTTCATTTTGATTATAAAACTAGAGCAAAATTTTTCCCTATGAGCAAAACTTAAAGAAGCTTTTTGGGGACATGCTCCGGAAGGTATATGTTGGCAATGAACTCCCAGAGTTGTGTGTAGCATTTAACTCAGTCTCATTACAATGGGTTATTTTCTTTCCTCAGGGTCACCTAAACTGTTGCAAACCTGTGGTCATCAACAATTCATTAGTCAGAGACAGCACAGCAACTCACCTCACCGATAAGGTATTCCTCAATTAGAGAGCAGTGTTCAGGTGGCCTTGAAAGTCCAAGGCCCAAACAAGGAATGAAATGTCCCCCAGCCCCGTGCCAACCACATGCAGACGTCTCAAGATGCCCGAGAGCATTTCCAGAGCCACTGGACACCCATGCTTGGTCACCCAGATCACATTCTAAGCGTCCTAAACACCACCAGGCCCAAATAACGTGCAGATTCTCTTTCTTGGATCTTACATATCCAATTATCTGTTTAACTCTTGTGTGGTAAGCTGTGGTTAACCCACAGCCTTCTCTCCTGTCAGTAACATTAGAAAGTCACATCATCTCATCAAGAGTTCACAGAAAAATTTGAAAGTAAATATTCTGCACATGGGAAAATGAGCAGACCTGAACAGAGCCAATGTTTACCGTTGAAAATACTTGTTCCTTCATCTTGGTTGTTGAGGAAGTGGCGTGCTGCTGACCTCAGCACATGGGAACCACAGGGTGTGAGCAATGGAAACCCATATTTAGTTACACTGAGCAGCATCTGTTGAGATGGTCCCTACTCTCCTCCTGCTCTTCTCCCCTCAGTGCTGACCCAAGCTTATATCTAACCTCCTTCTTCATTTTTCTTTCTCTTTCTTGTCTGTCCTGCTACATGGCACCTTCATCCTCACCCAGTTCTACTGAAACAGACAGTGTCTTTAGGTGCTCAGCTAAGGTGTGGGAAATCAGAACCTTCATGCATTTATTAAATGGGTTCATAACAGAGAAAGTGTTGCTAAGTGTTTGGTCAAGATGGGATTTTCATCATTAAGATGAGGCAAAACGAAGTGGCCATATGGTGCATACTTTCTTTCTTACACACACACACACACACACACACACACACATTTCTTTGTGGTTTTAATAATTTGTCCAGGGTTTTTCAAAATAAATTCACTAGAATTATATTTGGACTACGAAACCAGTGAACTTTAGAGCCCCCTGGTTCGGTGGGATATTGTTCTGCTTCAGACAATATCACCCACTATGCTCATTCTCTAAAGAGAACTGGCCTCCTGAATCAAACTTCATAAAAAAACCCCTTTCCTTGTTTTTGAAAATTATTTTACAATAGCTGAAGTGGAAAAGTTCCAGAAAGATCCTAGAACAGAAATTCTTGTGCTACAAAATATTCAAAGGTCACTGTACACTGAGAGCATGTTTTCTGTCCTGGGGAAATGTTCTTTTGTCTGGGCTCTCAAGCTTTCCTCCTCTGGCAGTGGATTTTTCTCTGCATCTCTTTTTGCATTCTTCTGAAGGAAATGAAATCTGCTGGGATGCTGATGTGAGCAGCCATAAAGGTGGCCTGGTTAGAAGAGGAAAATTACTGAGCAAAAGAAAATGTCCACTGAAAAATACTGAGAGAGAAAGGCCTGCCAGCCTGGGAAGCTGCAGCATCCTTGAGAAACACAGCTGGCCTCTTTGAAGTGAAGCTGGACACCTAGAAACCTGAGACATCCCGAGATATCATCGATAAGCACAAAAACAAGGGACTGTAACAGCAACTTCTTATCTGAAAAGGTGCAAAATAGTCTGAAAAATAAAATTGGTCTGAAAGAATAAAACCCATCATCATCTATTGGCCATTCCAGGTGAAAAATAGAAATTAACAGCACCTACTGGCTGCCCAAAGTGGTGGTGTCCTACACCCTCTTATGTTTCTCTGATACAAGAACAATTTAATTTTTATCCAGAACAGAGCCTCTCTCTGAGAACTTCCCGTGCTGCATGTACTTTTCCATTCCTAAACAGGTTGAATTCACTGCATGAACTTTTGGCCAGCTCTTGGATTCTCACTGGGGACACCCAGCTGACTCCAGACTCCGCGACACAGAGCATATCTGAAGTGAGACTCTGTTTGTTGTGTTATTAGTCCCCATCTGAGCCTACATTTGGGGTTGTTTCAGTTTGTCCTCCTACCTGTGGGATGATTTGGTTCACTTGATGATGGTATCACTTGATACCAGTGTTACACATTGATATAAGCAATGCTGCTATATTGTTGATGAGTTGCTCCCCTAATGACAAGTTTGTAGTAACCTGTAATCATACACACCTGGTTACTGCTGTTATTGGCTTTGCTATACGATTGATTGATGCTATATTATTGATTGACGATAGTAATTTGTAATAGCATGATATATACGTATTCACTTTATTAATCATAGGTATACTTGCTAGTGGTGATTTTTGTGGTATTTTTGGAAACTGTCATAAAGTAAAGCAGTTTAGAGAATAAAGCCTCCATGTCCTTGTGTATTACAGAACCCTGCAAACCCACACTCACGATCTCTGTACACCCACAGGACGGGTAACCCTTTAGGTCATGACAGACATGCCTCAGAATTCTTTCAGCCAACAAACCTGCTAGAAAATCAAGGCCTACTGGATGTCTTTAATGCTGCTCTTTCAGCTTCAGTAAACTTATACCTTTACATCAACATGCAAGCTCAAAAAAAAAAAAAAAAAAAAAAAAAAAAAACAAAAAACCAACAAAACCCAAACAAACAAAAAAAGTTTTTCTAGACAAACAGGAAGCAAAATAGGATAATTATAGAGGTCACCATCTGGTATATCAGCAGCTTCCAGTTTAATCACATGCTGACCCTTCCTGCTCGACTAAGCCCTCCTCTGACTGCAAAGAGTTAGGGGAGTGCTTCCCCTGGGAGGAGATTATCCTGCTACTGCCCACAGCATGGTTTCTCACAGCTTCCTGCCAAGAATCTTGTACTGGACACACTGGAAACAGGGCTCTGCATCAGTGGTGGGACTAGCAGGGTTGAGAGTAGCAGTCCTGGCAGTCGCCAGAGCCATGCCAGGAGAAAAATGAACAGTGAAGCCCTGGGGGATGCTCAGGAGCAGCAGGGCTGTGCTGTCACCTCATGCTGTAGAGGACGTGACCGTCAGGGAACACCCGCAGCATGATGTTGTCTGTGGTGGTATCGTGAATGAAGGACCTTTTGGAGTGCACGAAGAAGACATCAGGAACCCAGATCTTCTTCACCAGCCTCCCATCGAAGGTCATGCTCTTGTTGGTGGTGCTGGGAAATGAGAGACGCTCGTCCTTCCAGTAGTGCCTTAAGTACAGAGTCATAGTGAAATCCTTCACGAAAAAGGAAGAGAACCAGAGAGAGGTCTGTCAGTGCTGCTCTCTACATCTAGGAAACACTATAAGGAAAACTCACTCCTACCAGTTAGATGAAATCCCCCCCCCTCTCAACTCCTGTTTCTTCCCTGGACCAATTCTCATTGTGAGCAGATTTTCTAATAAAATAATCTCAGCCAAAACAAAACATAACTCCCCAATAAATGTATTATGGTACCCAGTAATGTTCAGTCCCAAAAGGGAGATATTATATATATATATATATATGCCCCAAGAGAAGCATGGCCCTGCAGAAAGGATTCTTCAGTCCCAACAAAACTATCTTGAAGGACTCTGGTGTATCAACAGCATGTTCTGGCAGAAAAACTTTCAAAATCAGTTCAATGGTCAGGCTAAACACTAAGCAATTTATCCCAAAAATAACTAAATTGTTGCAAACAGCAACCAAGTGAGGGAACTGTTTTTCCTACTGCACAAGCAGATAAATTAAGCTCTCTTTTAAGCTCAGTGAGGGGGCAGGAGTTTCAGTCGCACAAAGGAAAACATCTGTTTGTTGATCCCGACCTGGCAGCTGCTGCTTTCAGGGCTGAATCTACTCTCTCATGCTGAGAGATCAAATACACTTGTTTTCTTTATATTCCCAATTAAGCGAGCGAGCGGTTACAGGAGCCGCATCAGCCAAGCCCGGGCAGGCAGCAGCACAGGCTGGGATCTCTTTCTCACCACTCAGCAACCACTGTCTAAACCTGCCCCCACCGCCTCCTTTCACTTTGCCGATGACAAGCCATCGGTTAACCTGACTCTCTGTTTCAAAGGGCTGCCCTGACAATAGTCTCACACTGCCAACAGGTTTCTCATAAATTTGTTGAAGAAATCTCCAGTGACAGATTGCTGCAGATCTGGCCAGACACCTGCACCCCCACTCTGACCATGGCAGGCACCTGCCAGAGGGACACGTCTTCTCACACATCTGCAGGTCTCCACTTTGCCAGAGTGGTTGTAGCCTCTATCCCTGCTCCCCAACAGGGATGTTGCCACCTCCGGTTCCCTACTGGACACTGGTCACCTTCCCCTTACAGCTACAGTCCCAAAGAAACTCTTCCAGGCACTGCTGCTGCCAGCAGGGCTTAAGTTGCAAACTGGCTGGAGAAGCCAACCTCAGGGTCTGGACAAGGAAAGAACATCAGCTTGACCAGAGCCAGGAAAAAGGAAAGCAAGGAAGAGGCATAACTGATGATGTCTTAAGAGTCAGTACCACCTGGTCACCTTCCCCTTACAGCTACAGTCCCAAAGAAACTCTTCCAGGCACTGCTGCTGCCAGCAGGGCTTAAGTTGCAAACTGGCTGGAGAAGCCAACCTCAGGGTCTGGACAAGGAAAGAACATCAGCTTGACCAGAGCCAGGAAAAAGGAAAGCAAGGAAGAGGCATAACTGATGATGTCTTAAGAGTCAGTACCACTTACAGCAGAGAGCCAGGAAAAAGGAAAGCAAGGAAGAGACAGAACTGATGATGTCTTAAGAGTCAGTACCATTTACAGCAGAAGAAAAAAAACAGGGTAAA